TCCAACATTAGTCATTGCTCAGGCATGGTTTTGACGAGACATTGCTTACCGTGTTGAACAAGCGCTGTGAGATATCCTCATGTTCAGTTGCAAACTTTGTGAGGAATTGTGTCCCTTCATTTGTGCTAAAATACAAGGGATGCACATTTGTTTTTCCCGTGTGAGTATTTTGAAACGGAAAGGTGAGCGGCTTGATCGTCGTTGCATATGTAGCTGGCAGAGGGCCAACCATGTACTCTTGCCAGAACATGTCAGTTGTATTGGTAGCACCACTCTGAACTGTAGCGCGTGCATATCTTGCTGGGGGCTTTCCGTATCCGTCTAGGTATTTGGCTGTTTCGGTTTTGTTGGGCTCCAAAAGAGTGACTCGTACACTGAGGGCTGCTCAGTATGGTATTCATGTTTGTAGTTGTTCAACTTACACATAACTATCTTGACTAGATCCTTGGTTGCCATTCAACTTCAATTTTTCTTGCAGGATGTCATTGGCACTTGCCGTCTCCTCCTTGGACAGTGATCTCCATGGGTTGGTGACCGGTGCGTTCAAGGTAGGCTGTCGAGGTGGAGGGCAGGCCTGCTGCGCTGCGGTTGATGAAACAAGGGCAGCTGCGCCTAGTATGATGGTAGACGTCCACATGATAATTTGAGGATAGAGAAAGATGTGTTGAGGAATTCCCATCGTGGGGACTTATGCATGTTATATGTGATTCTGTTCTTCACGCGATTCCAGTAGTGCACTATGACTCGGGCAGTTGTGCTGTCCTTACCTCCTGCGCATACCCAAGAACGATCTGACTTTTTCGTAGTTGAACGTCTCGGCTCAAAGGGTGTACCCTGCATAACGCTATTGTTGTGTTGTTTTTCTTGCGCGGCGAATACAACAGGAAGCGATCGACGGGCCAACGCCTTGTCGAGCTGAGTCGTAAGAATTAACTTCAGTGTCGGAACAATAATAAGCGTGGATCTTCACTCTAATGATGCTACCTCGTCAAATTGAAATTGTGTGGATTGACAAGCTGAATGTTTACTATATTAAGAAGGTACCCGATGCCATCCGGCTATGTGCAGATAGCTGGTCAGTTGATGGGTGTCTGATTCAGACCGTGCCTGCCACCGTACTTTTCTCGAGCTCGGGGCGGATTTTTCACCGCCGAAATCAGTGTGCAACAAAGAACGTGCCAGTAGCAAGAATTGCCGGGCATGTCAGCGGCCCAAGAACAGGTAGTACGACATTCATTGGTGTGTCATGTTGACCATGTTCGATATTACAGTTTTAGCTTAAGTCAACACACACATAGTCTACTGCGGTGAAGCTTTCATTTCAACCGACCTGACTTCGTCCTGTTACATTTTAGTAAATAGCAAAAGTTGATACAACACACTCTATTCAACTGTCGCGACATTGTTTTCAACGTTTTACTTCACGATGACCGTTTTTTCCTCACTGCTATTCTACTAGCCTATCGTCTGTACTTGGGCTAGTTTTTGTTCTTTGTTAGGCTGAACCTCGTGCACTGGAATACTCAAGAGGATCTAAGATCTCTAGAAGATGAGTTCATCCTTTGCAGTATTCCTTGATTGTATTGTCTCTTCGTTTCTGCATAGCCGTTTACTACTCTCTGCAATGACTGTTGACAAGACCAACAGTTTTGACTGCACGCCCTTCCAAAGACCATACTTAAAAGCAATCTTGTACAAACGGCGCAGAAAAAGAAGTCGCCGAGACTCTAGCAAAAAGTCCGACGATGGATTCACGGAGGCGTTTGTTAAACACATCAATGCTTCATGCAGGTTTGGCTGTGCGTTGGAATAGTAGGGACAATTTGTGGCTTTGGCCATCACAAAGCATGATTGAAAGGCAGAAAAATTGATTCAATACTGAATGCAGACTAAAACACAGATGCAACATGATTTGATACTACTCTGCCATTGGCAAAGAAATCAGAGTCTGAACAGAGACGCTCGTACTGGGAATGCACTCTGATACAAATGACAACTGTCTTCACTTGTATCTACTAAGCAATCTGGGGCATCGGATACCCGCGATTGTGCCGGTGTTTGGGGATTGGGCTATGCCGAATACGCCGGGGTGCAATCCGAACATCTCTTCCCAAGTACTTGAGTTGATCTGTTCACAAGGCAAGCTCAATTATGTCTGGGAACGCTCTATAAAGTTTTCGCACATATCGGGAAAGACCTTCTATTTCTTGAGCCAGATAGTACGGGTCCTCGCTTTCTGTGTCCAAACCCAACTGGTAGTGGTAGTGTATGTTGTGGAATGCTTCGAGTATCGAGTGCACAATGCGAGGTGAGGCCATACGCGGAAGAGGCATGGCGGATGGGGATGGTGGAGATGTGGTCCGGCACACGCGACTGCGCTAACCCGTTTTGGATTCAATTAACGCGTCGCGTCGCGCCTTCTCCAGCTAAGGCTGATGTCTCATGAGCTCCTTCCATTACCACCCCTCGCACCTCGCACCTCCCATACCACACACACCACGCCCACTGCGCCTTCTGTCAAGAACACACCATGGCTTCTACTGTTCTTGGAAAGAGGACTCGCAGCTCGGCTCGTGTCGACGCTTCCGGTATGAGCAATCAGTGCCCGGCAGCCCTTTCTCATTCAACACGTCCCTAACGCGCTATACAGATGAAAAATTGAACGTCGCAACACGGTCGAAGCGGAGGACGCAGTTTGTCATTCACGATGAGGGCGAGATTGAGAACCCATTCGTCACTCCCAAAAAGCAAAATGCCCGGACCGAGGATGCAATGGATGTGGATGAGCCCGAAGAGAAACCCTCCACAAGGCGCGGAAGGAAGACTGGGGCGACACCTGCCAAAAAAATCGACCCATGTTCGCGGTTTCCCCTGTCATCCGCCAAAGAAAACTCTCCCCAAAAATCGCTGGTCGATATACCCGACAAGTTTGCACCTACTCCCTCAACTCCGAGACATCGCGACGCGCTTGCTGCCAAAGTTGCTGTCACACCACGACATCGACTCATTATTCCCGGCCGACCACTGACACCCCGCACACCACACACCCCAGGAACCCCGAGACATACTGCTCCCACCGTCTACAACGAAGCGCGACAAGTATTTGCCAGGGGATCAGCGCCCGCGGTACTCTTTGGACGTGAAAATGAAAAGAAAGAACTCCAAACGTTCATCACCGCCCGCACAAAGGGCCGCAAGTCTGGATGTATCTACGTCTCGGGGCCTCCGGGTACTGGAAAGAGCGCATTTGTCAACGATGTCTGCCGCACTGTTTCAGACGATGATTCTGTCCAAACCGGATACATCAACTGCATGAGCGTGAAGAATGCTCGTGATCTCTACAGGACGCTATTGGAGGAGTTTGTCGACATTACCGAGATTGTCGAGGGCGAGGAGATGGAGGCACTTAGGAACGTTTTCATGCAGCGCGAATCTTCCTACGTTGTTACCCTGGACGAAGTGGACCACCTCTTGGAGCTGGACATTGATCTTTTCTACAACATCTTCGAATGGTCGTTACAAAAGTCTTCCAGTCTGATTCTTGTCGGTATTGCCAACGCCCTCGACCTTACAGATCGATTCCTCCCACGACTCAAGGCCCGCGGTCTCAAGCCACAGCTCCTGCCATTCCTTCCATACAACGCAGCGCAAATATCCTCGGTCATCACCTCAAAACTCAAAGCACTTCTCCCAGCAGGAAGCACCAGTCAACTACCATTCCTCCACCCCACCGCCATCATGTTCCTCTCCAAAAAAGTTGCTGCCCAATCTGGCGACCTCCGCAAAGCCTTTGACATCTGCCGCCGAGCAATCGACCTCATCGAAGCCGACACCCGCGACCAACACGCAAAGAAAGCCACAGAAATCACGCCTTCTCCCACACCCTCCCCTTCAAAGGCTCCCCTGGTAGAAAACGACAACCTCGCCTCCCTCACCACCACTCGCTCCCCCTCAAAAACCAAAGACCTCGGCGCCGCCATCGCCGCCTCCCTCGCTTCTCTGACAGTCGAAACCGCACCCCGCGCCACCATAGCCCACATGGCCAAAATCACCGCCGCAGTCTTCAGCAACGGTACAAGCCAACGCCTGCGAAACCTAAATCTGCAACAAAAAGCCGTCCTCTGCTCTCTCTCCGCCATCGAAAAACACCGCCGCGCAACAGCCGCAGATACAGTTCTATCAACTCCATCCCGCTCTCACACTACTTCTCCCACTATCAAAGACCTCTTCGAAGCCTACACCGCACTTTGCAAGCGCGAAAACATTCTCCACCCGCTCAGCAGCACAGAGTTCCGCGATATCGTAGCCAGTCTCGAGTCTCTATCGCTTATCTCCGCGGTAGACGGCAAGGCAGGATCCCTCGACATCTTCTGTGCCGGCACCCCGAGTCGGCGCGGAAGAGGCAAGGCGTTCCCCGGTGTGGTCGTCGAAGAGCGCAGAGTCGCAAGTGTAGTTGGCGAAAAAGAACTCGCGGAGTCCCTTGTGGGGCCTGGTGCTGCTATCCTAAGGGGCATTTTGGACGCTGAGGCTTGAGTGATACGTATGGAGTTATGCCATGCCTGCTTTTTTTTCTTGTTATTTTCACCGAGTGATAAGAGTTGCGATATGCGTCATGCGACACGTTTATCCTCCCCCTTCTCTTTTCTTTCCTGTTTGAAGTAATTTGGGGGGGGGGTTAGAAATATGCTTGTTCATGAGCAAAAAGAGCGGTTTGGGTATAGTACTGGCGCTGGTTTTTGGATTAATGCTGTTTGTCTGTTTTTGGTGTGTATCATAGCGAACGAGCGAAGAAAGCGATTTGAAGCATTTTTGGTTAGCGAGGCATATATGGATTGGTGTTTGGTTTGCATTGTTCGAAACTCGATGGGTATCGAGGGTAGTTTAGTTCTAGTTTACATCAAATCAAAAACAGTCAAAACAAGAAAACAGAGTGTATATGCAAGTGGTATCATTTCACTCGGCAATCTATCAATCCATCTATCACGAATTCTAAACTTTTACTACTCTCCTTCCTCCCCCTCACCTTCCTCATCCTTCTCCTGCCGCAGCGTGCTGGTAGGAACTTGACTCTCCACCCCCCTTTTGCGAAAAACAGCCTGCATCCAGCATCGATACATTTTCAGTCTGCGCTGGCGATTCACCAACATGCGTCTGTCAACGCCGATATGCGCGACTTCGAACGTATGCTTTTCTTCTGACTCATCTTTGATCTGCAACTCCTTGACTTGGTCTTGTAATTGCGATTCCGCACTCTCTTCTCCCTTGTTTTCCTCTTCCGTACCACTACTGGGCGATGGCATCTTTCCAGCCCAGATATTCTCAAGTTCCTCCTGCTCAAAGAAATAAACACGCGTGCCATCTCCCCTCACATAAAAGTTCTCCTGGAGGTACCTTCCCTTCTTGAACCGTACCTGCGCTAGATCTCCACGGCCATAATCTCGAAACAGTACTTGCCCACCCGGCTTAAGTACACGCCAGATATTATCCACAGCCTGACTCCATTGCTCTGGACTCAGCGCACTAAAGATGAAAATCATGAGTACGACATCGACACTGTTTTCCGCCAGGCCAGGTGGTAAGCCCCCGTTTTCCGAGTCAGGCGGTGAAGCAACGTCCCAGACATCTGCCTGGATACGCTCAGGATCGTAGAGTTCATGATTCCTAATCAACTCGACCGCCTTCTTCGAAAAATCACACGCATGAATCTTCAACCTCTTATTCTGACTCCTTTGTAGTATCGGAAACGCACTATTCCCCGCTCCAGCGCCAACCTCCAACAACGTCGCCTGCGGCCCATCCTCCTTACCCAGTTCTTCTAGAATCGGAAACTCCTGCGCAAGCCACTTTCGGTTTTTGAAAAAATTCGTCTTGTTGTTCTTGTAAAATTGGTTCCACCATTTTTCGGGCTGCGCGTTGTAGCGCGAGCGGTCAAAGTCAGATACGGGTTCGGAGCGCTGTTTGGAGTATTGCTCTTCGGAGAAGGCGAGGTAGGTGGCGTCGACGGTGACGTGGTCCCAGGCGTTGAACTCGAAAATGTCGTCGCCTTCCTCGAGGTAGCGGGAGCCGAAGGCGAAGGGGTCGCTGCGCTTTTGGTTGTTGGTGGGGTCGTGAGAGCGGGATTGGGGGGCGCGGACGGGGGCGAAGGAGGCGGGGACGCCGTAGGCGTCGTTTTCGGCTGGGGGTTGTTGTTCTGTGGATGAAGGGTCTTGCGCTGAGTCTTTGGCGCTAGACTGTGTTGATTGTGATTTTGGTGTAGAGGCAGAATGTGGAATCGGGTCGGCAGTGACTGCGAAGCGCATGTGCTCCATGGCTTTTGATAATTGTTGTCTCGGCTGCGGTTTCTTCGACACACTATTATCCGTCTGAAATCTTGCGTCGCAGGATTGAACCGAATCCGCGTTGGCCCCTACATCTTTCTCCGCCCCCTTCGTCGCATCCATATCAGCAGCCATCGTGTCGTTGTAAAGTTGCGTTTATGTCGCGTATATATGCGGGGAGGGGGAGGGGGACCAGGAATTCTTAGAGGGGCACTCGCTTTGCCCCTCCAACGAGGCACGCGAAATTTCCCACGCTAGCAAACCCCCCCCCCCCAGTCCAGTCTAGCGCTGCCGCAACAGCAACTCGTCCCTGACATGATAAGCGTCATGGGGGCGTAAGTAGAGCCGCAACACCCTAGCGCGACATTTCCACATTTCCTCCACCATCAACCGTCAACATCACTCAACCACACCTCCACGCCCAACTCCCAGCAACCGCCGCGAAAAAACGAACACCGGAAACTCCGCTATGATACCAACATAAACAACCACCTCAAAAAAAAATGCCGCCACTCAAATCCGCCCGTCCCTTCCTCATCAACCACCACCCATCACACCACCAACGCCGCACCTTCCTCCCCAACCCCTTCACCTCCCTCACCCCACCTACCTCACCCCCTCAAATCCTAACCGCAACTCGCACCCTCCCCTATCCCTCTCCCCCTGTCTACTCCATAATCGCCGACGTCCCCGCCTACTCCTCCTTCCTCCCCTACTGCACCCACAGCACCGTAACGCAATGGTCCCTACCAGACCGCCAGTACCATCGACGCTGGCCTTCTGAAGGAATCATAACAACGGGTTTCGGCGCTATAACCGAGAGTTTCCGGAGTCGCATTTATTGTGTGCCTGGTAGATGGGTTGAGAGTGTGGGGGGAGAGGCGGAGACGGAGTTGAAGGGGGTGGATGTGGCGCATCATTTTGAGGGGGAGGGGCAAGGGATGCAAGGGAGGAGGGAAAAGGGAGAGAATGGGTTATTGACGTATTTGAGGAGTAAGTGGGAGGTTGAAGAGGTGAGGGAGGCGCAGACGAGAGTGAGTTTGGTGGTGGAGTTTTCGTTTGCGAATCCAGTGTATGCGGCGTTGAGTGGGGGCGTGGCACCGAAGGTGGCGGAATACATGGTGAAGGCTTTTGAGACGAGGGTGCAGGAGGTTTTGGAGAGGAATCCGGAAATGGTCACGGCGAGTCTGGCGGATATGGAGGGGAGTGCGATGAAGAGGAAGTAATATGGGCTATAATCAGGGTAGCAAAAGCACAAAAGGCATTGCAGCAACATGAACATCAGCGTTTTGAGCGAATATATTAGTTTTCAATCTCAACATCCTAATACACTTAATTGAATAGTGACCTATACACCAAGCCAACCCCCCAAACTCCTACTTGGCACCCTCAAAGTACTTCCTAAATCGAGGCTCATTCTCCAAATCACACGCCAACACCGCTTCATAGCAGCTCATGAGTAACTGGGGGAACTTGACGGTCCAGTACTTCAGATATCCACTCGGCAGCGGCCCAACCTTGGCCTTGATCGAATCCTCCATGTCCTCGTAGTGGTTCTTCTTGTTACGCAATGCTCGCAACAAGTCGAGCATACGATCGCCCGTGTACTTGCGTTGCTTACCCAGCGAGTTGACAAAGCCTGGATCCAGCTTGGCGAGGAAGTTACGTCGGTGGTCAAGGACATCCTGAGCGTATTCCTCAAGCTGCGATAGGTGCTCCGACGGTGGGTCGCGAGGCTCTCGCTCCCAATGATCAGAACAGTCACATAAGAAGTCAAGTCGCTTCTGGTCGTCCCAGAAGAAGGGATGGTTCATGACCTGAAGGGCAGTTGGACGAGATTCAGGACGTGGCCGAAGCATCCATTGGATGAGGTGATGTGGCTCCACAGAGTCGGCACCAAGAAGTAGGCGGTCGAGGTTCGACTTTTCCTTCTTGATATTGTACTCGCGAATCTGCATCCAGCCTTCTTCATCGTCAAATGGGTGGCAGCCACCGGTAAGTACGTAGTAGAAGACACAGCCCAGAGAGAAGATGTCCACAGCCCGCTTCACGCCCTGTGCGACTGGATCCGTCGAGCTGGATGAGTCACGAGAAAAGCCCTGGGAACTTCCATTGACCAGCTCCTTGGGCTGCGAGATGAGCTCCGGGGCTTTCCAGCCGACGGTACCTGCGTTGCCAGTTGTACCGACAAGGGTACTAACATTGTCGGGCAGAGTCTTACAGAGCCCAAAATCAGAAATCACCAGTCGCACGTCATCCTTGGAGGTGATCAGAGGCTGTGCAACAAGAATGTTTTGAGGCTTGATGTCGCGGTGAATGATGCGGAGATGGTGCAGGTGGTTCAAACCGGCAGCGAGCTGGTACAGGCAGGACGATGCCTTCTTACTAATCTTGTTGACCAGACGCTGATGTTCCTCACTGAGCTCCTCTCCAGGCCGCCCATCCTTGTACAGATCGAAGAGACTAGCTTGGCAGAGTTCGACGGCGATGTAGAGAAAGTTTTCGTCGCGTTCGTCATCAAAGTAGCGGATGACGTTCGGGTGGGGGTCACTGTTCTGTAGAAGCTTGACCTCTTGTTCTGCAAGCCCAAAGTATTGAGGCAACATGCGCTTGACGGCGACCTTGACTTCCTAGAGCGGTGTTAGAATGAGAAGGCGGTGAAAGACCGACGGTGATGAACATACCTTCCATTTTCCTTCAAAGACGAATGTGCCACCACTTCCATTGCCCAATAGTCGATCTTGGTCAATGGTAAGCTTGCCGATGCGTTTGATCTCAGAGATGTTTTGCACGTCACCCCCGCTCACGGTGAGTTCGTCGGGGTGCAGGCGAGGGCCGACTTCGAGCTGTTTGGCTGCGTTCACAATCCGGTTGACCTCATCTTCCTCTTTTTGCTGATTCTTACTCAGCTTACGGCCGCCCCTTCTACCCCGGTGTGTCTTCTTCTTCTTCGGTGTAGCCGGTGCAGCCGTGGGGTCTTGTGAGACATCTTCGGTGCTATTTGCCATTGCCTCAGCATCGCCATTGAGCTTCACCTCTGGCGGAGCAGCTTCGTTCGAGATTGGAGAGGCTTGTTCAACAGTCGTAGTCCTGGAGAGGGGTGCAAGATCTTCCTCTTCGTCACTTGGGACGGCAAAGGTAACGACCTTCTTCTCCTTGGGCTCCTCCAATGCAGGTAGCTCGTTTTGGTCTTTCTCAACGGTCTCAACAACTGGCTTCTCTGGAACAGGATCATCTGCATGTGGAACAACCAAAAGCTTTTCTTCGCTCAGCTTGACCTCAGGCTCTGGGGAAGCGTGGAATGGCGGAAGAGGCTGTTTGGTGTTGTTGCCTGCATGGACTATCTGCTTGAGGTAGCTCAGACAGGACTCGACCATTGTAGGCTTGATAGAAGCCCCGACACCGCCAAACAGGCAGATGGCAAGTACAATGTATATGTAGACATTGACTGAGCGTGCGACGACTTCAGCCTGTGGTGGTGCATCAATGCTTGGTGGCTGGTGATGCTCCCTTGGGGAAGTCTCCGGTGGGTTGGAGATGACCTGATCATTTACAGAGTCGTAGAAAGTTGGTGCAGGAATGCCCAGCAGCTGAGTTGGCATTTCAGGAACCTTGTAGTCGAGCCTGTGCACACCAATAAGGCTCTTCTTGTCTGGCAAGGCGTAGGCCGCATCCCAATCGTATGCAGCCTGATTCTGCTTGTAGCAACTTGCGTCTGGGGCACCATCTGTCACGGCAGGGTAGTTGACTTCTGACAGTGCATACCACGCTCCCGAGTCGGTTGTGTTGAGGAGAACATGATTGGCCTTGTCCTCTGAAAATACAGGCCCCGCAGGCTGGGGCAAAAGGACCAAGGGTGGGTCAGAGGATTGGTCGTTTGAAGGACGGGCAACATCAAAGACGCGTGCAACTGGGAACGGCAGACGCTGCCTATAAAGTGGCCGCTGGTGCGACCTTGGACGCTTGTAGTCAAAGGCAATGACTTCGCCGTTATATGTGGTGTAGATGTACTGCTTGTCCAACGTCTGGTCGTACTGCGATTGCAAATCTCTGTCACGACTGTTGGGGTTCCACTCTGCATATTTGAGCGTGCATATGTGCTCGTTGGTCTTCTTGTTGTGGATGGTGATGGTGTACTGGGTCTGCCCAATGTCGATGACCCCGCGGCAGTCACGTTCTCGCGCGCTAAAGTAGTTTCTCGACTCTGGGGCACAACTGTCGTCGTGGGGAAAGGTTCCACCAGGACTGAAGCTCTGCTTGACTATACCAGAGGCTGCATCGACAAGCAACATGAATGTCTTCTTCTCGACGTTGTACACGACCGGAAGCTCCGGATCATCGCTCGAATAAGGTGCGTTTTCGGCCAATTGCTTGACCGTCACGCCCAGGTGTTGGAGATGGGGATAAGGGCCTGGGGAGAGGAGGTAGAGGGCACCATCTTCTCGCGGCTCCACGATCCATACAAAGGGCTGGTCCTGCGGGTCAACACTGCCGCCGGATGAGTTGTAGATGGTTTCCAACATGGGCCTCCCGCTCAGTTCCCAAATCTCCTCGCCATTGTATCGGTCGCGTGCGTGTATGTGGCCATCGACGGTCGCCAAGAGAACAAAGTCCTCAACTTCCCAATCCTGCAGAGAGCGCGCACCGGGGACTAAGCCCCCCGAGGCTGCATATCTGGCGGGATCGGCTCTGACAGCACTGATGGCTGGAGCAGAAGGAACTCTGGTTGCTAGGGCGCGCACGTTCTGGCTGTGAAGGGATGAGTGGGGTCTTCGACGCGGAGCATCAACTACCGCGTTCTTCTGGGCGAGTTTTGCGTGTTTGTGGATGGGCTTGGGGTTGATGATGGGAGCGTGTTCTATATGGAGGGCGGGTCGAGGGGCTCCGCTGGGGACATGATGTTCGAGGCGTGGAGGAGGTAGTGGGATTTGTTGTTGCTGTTGTGGTTGTTGTTGTTGTGGTTGCTGCTGCTGAGCGGCCACAAGTCCGGCGAGGAGCAGGAGGGCGAGAGTGGTGAGCGCCGAGCCAGCACCAGGCGGCCGGCGCGGACGCGGCATTGCGGGCGTGTATGGGGATCAGTTGGAAGCCTTGGGCAGGCAGCGAGGGCGAGGGAGATGGAGCATCCGCAAGCAGTGATGGAGGCGAAGGGCTGGGTCAGAAGAGGAGCGGGAAAAGACGCCCGTGGCAGCGAATTTAGGACGATATTAAGGCCTCGCGGGGGGGGGACTCGCCTGCTGCAGCTGAGCGTGGGCACCATAAGCTGGGGTCCGGTCGGGGCCTCGTCAGCCCACCCGTCACTGCTGCTAGCATTTAGACTCCTTGTCCACACACTCGCCCGTTTTCCTCGTTTTGGCCGCCACCGCCCATCCATCCACATCATCCATCCACTCCCCAACGCAGGGACCGAAAGGCGACGGGCCATCCCATTCCATCCATGTCCCGTACCTTGTGCTTGTGCTCTTGGCCGGGGCAGCAATGGCGGTCCTGTGCCTGCAGAGATGGAAACACGGCTGCATCCTCATGCCATGGACAGCCATTGCCCACCAGCCAGCCCACGACGCCAGGATGCATGCCACCGGAGCCAAAACCAAAGCACGCATCCACCCAGACCCAGACGGCCATGGTGGCGCAGTAGGTGAACTGTATCCCTCCCGCCCCGCACCACACCACACTACTCGCACACCCAACCACCAATTCCCAAGCACCCAAAGTCCGTACGCCAGACGGCACACGCTCAACCTGCCCGGCCCTGTCCTGCCCTGCCGCCCGTCACAAACCGCACAACCATATTTAGACTTGTCGTGACCAAAGTAACCTCTCAGAAAATATCAGTGTGTCCGAAGAGAGTTTCCTATTTCGGTGCTTAGGTGTCTTTGCGGTAATGGCGAGACACGGAGATGAAACACATGTCAGCGCCGAACCGCCCACCGCCCGTCCCACCGCATCCGTCACGTGACTCGCCCGCTGGACTGAATCATCTAGAAGGTCGACTGAGTCGCGTTACCTGCATCCGTCAACCACAATGCCACACCCCCTCACCCCCATCACATCTACTCCATATTAACTCAATCAATCAATGGCACATGCATCAACTCCGGCGCGCCCTGCTGCACCATGCAAACAGGAACCGCCCGTATTACATGCGTCACGCCTTGTGCGGCCACCTACGTCCTTCCGTACTAGTCACTTCCCACAATCTGACACACAAGGCACGGAACAACCGTTCAGGCGCCTGAGGCTCTGGCTGCATTCATCTTGCTTTGTAATATACACTCGATCTTGTGCCCGTGATTCCATTGCTTCATAACGTCCTGTCCCCTCCCCTTTACATACGATCGCGTCGTCGTGGTGCGCTTCGGATAATGTTGTCCACTCGCAATAGCAGCTGTCAAAGTCAGTGCCCATATCACAACCGTCTTCTCGCGATGCACTCACCTCTGCGGCCTCCGAGGCCGACGACACCACTGCTCGCTTCAGCTTGTAACTTTCAATCACACCCAGCTCCCTCATGTCTGCAATGCCACCTCCCGGTGACAGCAGATCTAGACCCGAGCTCGTCAGGCCCGAGTAGACGGCTTTCCGGAGTCGCGTGACCAGGTCGCTCGAGTCGAATCCGGCATTGTCAGCCAGGATCGTAGGCAGTTGTTGCAGCGCCTTGGAAAACGATTCGACCGCAATCGCCTTCTTGCCAGCCACATTTTGTGCCGCCTCCGCCACTGCCTTTGCCATGTTCATCTCGGCGCAGCCACCACCCAGTGTTGTCCGGGGCTCCTTGACTGTTTGTGACAATACGGCAAGAGCATCGTGTAGCGATCGCTCGGCTTCATCCAGAAGCTGCTCGGTAGCACCACGCAGCACAATGGTGCATGCTCGTCCCGCCTTGGTGCCCGAGAACTTGATCAACACATCCTCTCCAATTATCACCTCCTCGACGACATCGCAGTAGCCGAGCTTGACATTCTCAGGGTGGTCGAAAGTCGAGGTAATCTCTCCGCCAGTGACCAGAGCCAGTCGCTCAATGCCGTCAAAGTCTGCGTGCTCAATCGAGCAGATGCCAGCATCCGCAAACAGCTGCTCTGGCCAGTTGTAGATGAGCTGTCGGTTGACAAAGCAGTTGATGCCGTGTGCCTTGATACGCTCCACCTTGGCCTTCATCTTCTCACGCTCAGCCTTTTCCAATTCGGCAAGCTTGCCCGTTGAATCCACCTTGACTCGCGCTCCAAAAATCTTGATCTTGTCTGTGTCCATGGCTGTGTTTGCAACCAGAATCTTTGCATTCTCTATCCGCTTGGGCTGGTTCACGCCAAACTTCTTGTCCAGAATGAATCCCTCGTCCAAGTACGAGTCCTTTAGCTTTCCTCCAGCCTTCTTGATGATCTGGATGTGTGTCAGGTCCGTCGAGCCTCCGAGCTTGAGGACAGCGTCTACGGCGAGCTTGGCAAATTGTGTGCGGTCCTGCGAGAGCACCTTGGAGCTCAGCGTTGTGCGGGCAATGGCCTCGAGATCTTTTCGGAATTCCTGCTCGTCATTGCTGTGGTCCACTGCAATCTTTTCCAGTGCTTTGAGTGCTGCACTGCTTGCTATCCTGTATCCTTCGATGATAGTCTGGGGGTGGATCTTCTGGTCGACCAACTTCTCCGCCTCCCGCAGCAGTTCGGCGGCAAGGACAGTGACTGACGTGGTTCCGTCACCGACTTCGTCATCCTGGACTTTTGAAATATTGACTAGTACTTTTGCGGCGGCGTTGTCGAGGGCAATCGCTTTGAGAATGGTGGCACCGTCGTTTGTGACCATGATCTCTCCGGTCGAACTTTCCACACATGTGAGTTGGGGCCTACGAGTGGAAGCGGGGCAATCTTCACTTACGCAGACTGCATGATCTTGTCCATGCCCTTAGGGCCCAATGTGCTCTTGACCAAGTCTCCAACAGCGATGGCGCCTACAAAGGCAGAGAGGCGCGCATTCTCGCCCTTCTCCTCCGTTACGTCGTCCGCAAAGATCTGAGTGGGGTTCGACTACATGTCTTGTCAGCCACTACGGTTGTTCTTCATTGTTTTGTGAGAAAATTCGGGCGCTCATACCATCTTGCTGGAATTCCTAGGCAAGTAAAGAGGGGTATCTCAGAAGGTGTGGGGTTGTCGGCTGGATGTGCCTGGACGCGACTTTTTTCTAGTCTTGCCCGCGTTGAAGCTGTGTTTGCGGTGTTTGCGCGGAGCTTCCCCGGCCAATGGTTCCACCGGGGTCCGTGACTTGTGAATGCCTATTACCACCTTCGCTGCACAACATCAAACCACCTAGAAATCGTGGTGATTTTAGTTGTATAGTCTTGTCTGGAACCACAATCTCTTTAAATACCTTGAAATTCTGCGATATCACACCTGCGCAAAATGTCAAAGAGACCGGCCCTGGAGCCTCTCGAGGAAATGTACGACGCGCCGTCGCCAGCTATGAAGCGCCCAAAAGTCGAGGATGAAGAGATGGAAGACTCCGATACGAACGGCGCGACTGGCAATGGCCACCTCATGGCTCCCCGACTGCAAGACCAAGACAAGATAGACATTGTAGGCGCAGACGCAGAGGAGCATGAGGAGCTTGAAGAAGCCGGCGCATTGGACGACGAAGACGGTGACGAGCCCGCAGTCGCCGCGCCAAAACGCCAGAGTGCGCCAGAAGCCGGATACACCGATCTTTACCTCGACACGATAAACCGCAAAGTCCTTGACTTTGACTTTGAGAAGCTATGCTCCGTCACGCTGTCCAACATCAACGTATACGCCTGTCTCGTATGTGGGAAATACTACCAAGGTCGGGGGCCAAAGTCACAAGCATACTTTCATGCGCTGGAAGAGGGACACCACGTATACGTCAACATGGAGACGAAGAAGGTCTATGTGCTTCCAGAGGGCTATGAAGTGACGTCCAAGTCGCTAGACGACATCAAGTTTGTCGTAGACCCGCGCATGAGCAAGGAGGAGGTAGCAAAGCTGGACAAGGAGCCAAAAGTGTCGTGGGATCTCTCAAATCGCGAGTACATACCAGGCTTTGTGGGCATGAACAACATCAAGGCAAACGACTACTTCAACGTAGTGATACAAGCCCTCTCCCACGTCGTCCCACTGCGCAACTACTTCATGCTCGAAGACCTCTCCAACCGACCGCAACTCGCCCAGCGCTTCAGCACCCTTGTGCGCAAGATCTGGAACCCACGCGCCTTCAAAACCCACGTCTCACCGCACGAGCTCCTCCAAGAAATCGCCCTCCGCTCCTCGAAACGCTTCACCCTAACCGACCAATCCGACCCCGTCGACTTTCTCTCCTGGTTCCTCAACAACCTCCACCTCGCCGTCGGCGGCTCGCGCACAAAACCCCACAGCAGCATCATCCAAAAAGTCTTCCAAGGCACCCTCAAAATCGAACAACAAGAAATCACCGCCCGCGCCGACGCCGGCGACCGCCTCCGCTTCGAAGACGCCGCCGTCCAAACAACAACCTCGCACTTCCTCGTCCTAACCCTCGACCTCCCCGCCGCACCCCTCTTCCAAGACGCCCTCGAAAAAAACATCATCCCCCAAGTCCCCCTCGTAAACATCCTCTCAAAATACAACGGCGTAACTCCTCAAGAGAAATCAAAGAACCGCGTCCGATACCGTCTTCTACACCCCCTCCCCCCCTACCTCCTCTTCAACATCAAACGCTTCTCGAAAAATAAATTCGTCGCAGAACGCAACCCCACTATCGTCACCTTCCCCGTTCACTCCCTCGACATGTCACCCTACGTCGAACCGAATCCCGCGGAATACCCCCCAGGTGAACCCATATGGTACGACCTCGTCGCCAACATCACGCACGAAGCTGTCAAGAAGAAAGACGATAGCGTGGAGGGCGAGCTTGAGAGCAAGATTTGGAGGGTACAAGTTAAAGATCGCGCGAGGGAGGAGTGGTATGGAATTCAGGATTTGTTTGTGGAGAAGGAGAGGGCGGAGACGCTGTTTACAAAGGAGGCGTATCTGATGGTTTGGGAGAGGAGGAAGGGGCAGGGCGGGAGGAGCAGGAAGTGAAGGATTTAAATCTGATATAAGAGATTTATTTTTAATTGTGAAGAAGAAAAAAAAACAAAAGAACGATTCATTCAGATATGTATACGGACTTTATTCAACCATGACAACGTCCCTTCCGCCTTCCAACCCCAACCCATTCATACCCTCACTCACACCCCCGACCTCATCCATCTCTCTCAATGTAAAATCTAACAAATAACTCTCATCCACCAACTCCTCTACTCGCCTATAATGTCTCTCTGAATAAACCTTGATAGCCTCCAGCACATCCTTCAGACTCCCCTTCGCCGCAACTTTGCCTTGAGGCTTCAGCCCCGCAAGCCGTGCTGCTGGGTACGATTTGACAATCGTGTGTAGAATCTTCTGGGCGATGGGAGCGGTGCGGACGTTTGTATTCCAGTCGCGGAGGCGGAGGAGGAGTTTGTAGAGTTGTTCGTCGGCGAGGGATGCGAGGACGGCGTCGACGGAGTTGAGACCGGATAGGGAGTCTGGGTCTGGAGAGTCTGATTCCACGACGGATTTGAAGAGGGAGAAGAGGCGGGCGGGTTGGTCCATTTGGAGGGCGAGGACGATGGCGTCGCGGTAGTTTCCTGCGTAGGCGTAGTTTTGGAGTTTCTGGTCGAGTTCGATGCGCTCGGTTTCGGCGGTGGTGGCGGCTTCGAGCGTGGTGCTGGTTGTGTCTTGCCAGAAGGTTATGACGCTGTCACCGCCGCCAGAGACGAGGGCGCCAGTTTGAGGGTGGACGACGAGGGCCCAGACACGGTCGGTGTGGTTGTCGAGGGTAGACATTGTCTCGCCCGAGATGGAGTCCCAGATCTTGACCAAGCCGTCACCGGCTGCAGAGGCGACTTGCGGACCTCGTTTGTCTCGCGCGTCCACTGGACGGTATGGGAGCCATGCGAGCTTCAGGACACTGTTGGAGTGGCCTTCAAGCGTCAAAAGACAGCTGTAGTCCGCCAGACTCCAGATCTTGACCGTCTTGTCTCCACTGCCAGTTGCAATCAAGCCCTTGCCACTCGAATTCGGGGCCTGTGAGTCTTTTGGTGCAAACTTGACGCTCCAGACACCACGACGGTGACCTCGAAGGACACCAATCGCTTCTCCTTCAGCAGCCGAATAGATCTTGACTGTACGGTCCTGTGACGCAGAAGCGAACAGAGTCCCAGACGGGTCGATGTCAATTGCGTTGATATCCTTATCGTGTGCCTTGCGAGTATACTTTGCTCGTAGCTTTCCCTTCATCTCCTTAGTCGTGTCCCACCGCTTAACGGTCCGATCTTGGGATCCTGTTACAATGTATGCCGGGGGGTGTGATAACGGATCTGTGAATGCGGCAGACGACTCCTGAGGCACTGTATGAGGTAACGCAATTGCACCCAGCGATTCAGCATGACCTGTCAAAACTGCTGCACAAGTGTATGATCCGTGTTCGGGATCTAGTCGCCATAGCCGGGCTGTATTGTCCTTTGCACCTGTGACGAGCCAATGTCCTGACCAGTCCACATCTAGACAGATGACAATATCATCATGGCCTTTTAGTAGTCCCACGTCTGCGCCAAAGTATCTTCCTTCTGTTGCGTCGTCTCCCTCTGACTCGTTTAATGTGATGATGCGAATGTCCTCGGAGTTGGTGTTCAATGCCAGCAATGATTTGTCACGGCCGACGTACGCAATATCAATCACTTCGTCATGCGTTCCGGAGACACGCCGAAAGACTGGTAGAGGATCAATCGTCTCCTCGACGACAAGGGATTCGGCAGATTTGAGAGAGTGAAAGTTGAGTACCTGGTCAGCATGTACTGAGATCAGGTAAGGCAGGGTTGGGTAGTAGAGAATGTTGACAATCTCATCCGTTTCTATACCCGGCTCTTGCTCTGATGTGAGTTCGCGTCCGCTTGATGTTGACCAAAGTCGTACTCTGCCGTTTTCTCCACCAGAGTACAAGATCTTTCCGTCTGCAACAAAACCGGCGCTCTCGATGCCTTCGAGTGCGGCAATGGTGCGTTGCGCCTTCCACCTGTTCGAGTCCCATGCAATCAGAGTCTTGTCTCTACTACCAGAGAGGAGCAGCTTTTCCTGTGGTGAATACTGCAGCGATCGAACCACAGAAACGTGCGAATCTAATATGGCGGCGCTCTTCCTCTTGTGCAAATCCCAGATTCTAATTTTTCCGTCCTCGGCACCCGAGGCCAGTCGGAATTGTATCTGACTTTCGCCCTGGGCTTGTTCGATCTCGGCACCTTCTTGTCTTGATTTCCTCTTCCGTTTCTTGTTGTTTTCGGATGCATCTTCCCGCTCAGCTACCTCAACCTCAAAGAAATGAAGCGCGGAAACAACCCCACCATGGCCATGAAAAGCGTGGGTGGTGTAGCCGCCGCGAATGTCCCAAACTTTGACAACACCATCTGCGCCTCCGGTTGCTAGTAGCGTTCCTGTGCGGTCTGTGGCCAGAGTGACTACAGGTGACGTATGCGGTCGAAGGGTGCGGACAAGTTGGAGTTCGATGGAGTCGTCCCCGTTTTCAGAAGGGTTGAGAGAAAATAGGCGCATGGACAGTGATCGCGAGCATACAATGAGATGCGAGGCAGAGGGCGTTACTGGCACATGTTAGTGACCGTTGCTATAGCTGGAGAAATTACTTACAAGTCAATGATGTGATTGCCTCGCCGTCGCCCTCGGCTCTTGCCAGCTCTTGTCCATTTGTGAGGTCGGTGAGAAGAACATCTTCACCCAAGCTAGCAGCCAGGATGCGCCCGTCCTGGCTCAATGCCAAACTGCCTCCCGAGTAGATGGGCTGCAAGGTACGGCCAACCTCGTAGGTGGTCTTCACAGCAGTTCTTTGCGCCGCCATGTTGGAGTAGGAATTGGTGGCGTCAAGGCTCGTGGAGGTTGTGGATGAGACATGTCGCGAAAGTTGAAGATGGAAAAAAGTTTATCGATAAGAGCCGTCGCAACCACGCGCTTGCGCTGACGTTTGGCGCAAGCGCGTCTGTCTCAGTCGAGTACTCGGTCTCCAACGACAGTGTTGGCTATGTGTTCACCACCCAACATGTCCACCAGTCTGTATTTCCAAGGAGCGGTAGTTTCACTCATTACTTGCACACAGTAGCAGCCACTCACACCCCCACCATGGGCCGACAAGCCTACCTGGACAAGATAGCATTTGTATAGACCCCACCAGAACAGGCCGCGCAAGCAATGTCTGATGAGCACAACAGGGGCGCTCTGCATTTGAGCCTACATCTTGCGCTTCGCAGTCTTCAGAGTATGTGCAGCTCGAATCGGCGCAGTCTGAGATTCCTGCGCGGTACCATGAGGCCACTGCGAACAACTACATGCAGCTTTACGATGAGCGCGGAAACCCCATCAACCCGCGCTCCCACCAGTACGGCAAGAAGCTGAGAGGCGCTCAGAATGACGTGCTTGCATCGGTGGGCGTAGTGGAAAGAAGACGTTCGCCGGCAGAGGGACTACCTGGTTCAAGCGAAGAGCGCATCCAACTGCTCGAGGCCGAGGATACCATGGGCAATGCAGTCGCTTTGGCTACCACTTTTGCAGAAAACATTTGCACATGGTGGATAGGCACTATCAGAGATCGGTTACTGGTACGGTACATTCGTTCCGTGTGTAACAGGCTACTGCTGACACCCACAGACATTTCGATATCATCATGGCCTCACATTTAGTCAGATTGTTAATTCCGAGTGTGCCTTGTCAGGGACCTCAATCATGTATGCAGGCTTTGCTCCCCGGGTCTTTGCCGCTCTGAATATCCAAACTGCTGTATACAGCGTGTTCATGTATCAGCCGATTGAACGCTTGCTCCATGCAACACGCGCAAGTGCAAGGACACGCAATGTGTTCCGGCGAACGAGGAGATTACTAAGAACAAGGTCTGACCCACATGTCTCGAGGTGGGATGATTGCTTACACCGAATAGCCTCCGCGTTGGCCTTGAGATTCTCTGCTGCCCGTTTTACTACCACGCTGCGCTGCAACGCTTGGGCCTAGTGCCTGCTCGACCACTCCTTCCCTCATGGCGCACTCTGATTCCATTTGCACTATCATCGCCACTACTCCCAGCCTACTTGCCTCAGCATGCCACTAACTCATTCGCGGATCGTTTCGCTGTTTTCTTCTTCTCGCCCGCCATCATTTTATGTTCGGAGCATATACTTGAGCGCTGGGTTTATGCCTGTGTGTACGAAGCTGTGGAATCATCAATCATTCGCCCCGACAAGCCTGACACAGCCAGCCGGGATGTCAATGGAAAGGATCGTGCGTTGACTGTGCTGGGGCTACGACGGGAGTCACCTCGGCTGATCCGCAATGGCATCCACAAGATACTTTGGATGCTGGGCTGGGCTTCCCCACTTGCAGCCTCGAGCACAGAACGGAAACAAACGGCCGGTGTGAACGAGACACGAGACATGAGCGATGCCCAGACAATACATGTTGGTGGTACGCGGGTTACGAACGCCACCCCACTAAGTCTACCCGTCGTTCAAACACAGGATCAGCGGGCAAACGAGCCGTTGGAGGCGGATGTGATAACCATGCCAGTGAGCGCAGTCGATGAGCTGATGCGTTCTACAAGCCCGCCAGGTTCAACAGCAGACTCGGAGGAGGAGGAGAATGACCCGCGGATACGAATCACATCGCGAGAAGGCATTGTGGAGATGGAAGTCCGCCTTCCACCGAGGACACTGTCTAGTCATAGCGAGGTTGCAGAAACGTTTGGATCTCCACGAGAGGGCAGAAGGAGCGAGTCTGTGGGGGCAGTTGACTTGTGGGAGAAGGAGAGGTATCATCGCGTGACGCAACTGTCGTGCGAGCCAGCTCAAATGATTGGGGCCATGGTGCGGGCTCAGCTTGTCGGGCTTGCGATGCTCCCCATTCGCATGCTGACGCTGCAGACGATCGCCTTGCACTATCTGTCGCGCCAAGGACGGCAGGGAGGCCCGCACCGGATGATTAGCTCACTGGAGATAGGTAGTGACCTGAGTGTGGTAGGGATTAGCAGGCAGGTGTTGCGGGTAGCGCTGTGTGGCGCGCTGGAAATGGCCGTGGATCTTGGGCTGTGGCAGATGCAGTACCTGGCCATTACGAAGCTTGGAAGGGACTTGTTTGGATGGGGCACACTGTAGAAGGCGAGTTAGCCTGCTTCTAGAATGCCTGTATGCAAGTGCGAGGCAAGGCGAGGCGAGACGGTGGTGGAGGGCAGGGCTGGCTCAGGAAGGGATTTATTTTTATAGGCGCTGTTAAGATGGTCGGCAGCAGCCGAATGCAGTGGCCTCTGGGTGGCACTCTTGCGTGTTTCACGAGTAGCTGGATCTAAATGCCGGTGTCGATAATGTTCCGAAAAGAGCACAGAGACGAGCGTCTCCACGATTCGAGTGGGGACGGGGGGCCTCGGTTTGGTCCTAGCGAAGAGCCAGTTCCCCCACCAGGGAGTCTGGGCAGTGAATGCAGTGGTGCAGGTGTAGCGACGGGGCGGGGTGGCATGGTTGGTGGGATGGAGGATGACAGTGGCAGACTCTCGCTCTCTCGGTCAGGCTAAAAGGCACATAGGGGGCAGTGGGGTGCAAGATGAGGCTTTGCTTGGCGGCAGCAGTCGAAGAGACCAAGGCGTTCCTTAGACATACGAGGCTGCGAGGGTGAAGGGGCGTGATTGGGCGCGCCAGATTACGGAGAGGCCGCTGGGATCACCATTGACTTTGCGACGCGGAAATTGCAGCGCATGCAAAGCAGCAGCACATGCAACGCAGCCAGAGGCAACAACATGCAGCCGGGATCAAGAGCCGGCGTGCTATCGAGGGCATAAACGTCTTGACAAAGAGACATGTGCGGCATGAGGACATGGTGCCGGGAAGCGATCAGCAAAACATCATCTCCGAGACGTGGTTTCTGCAAATAGCCTTGAGGCAGGCCGGCACTTGCAGGACACGACAAGGCAGGGTACGAGGACCGGTAGATAGAATGTGGTGCATATGGTAAGTTGAGATAGTACAGATGGGTGGATATGGATGGGTACTTAGTGTAGAGACCAGGGCGGGCTGCATGAAGCCGGGCCCGGGATGATACGCGAGTATGTGTGTGAGGGTGCTTACCTGACATGGCCTGGCTGGTGGCAGGGCTCGATGACGGATGGGGAGAGACGGTTGGTTGGCGTGAGGCCTAACGTCTTTAGTCGACTGAGCCAACATGGATGAGGTGCTGGCTTCAACATGGAAATGTGAAGCCTTGCCCCTTTTTGCCGGGGAGCAGCCTGATGCGAGGGTGCGAGGGTGCGAGGGAGTTTGCTACTGTGGCTGTCACTGTCCGACTACCTCAGGCGCATACATAGATAGCCATCAAAGTCGCCAACCAGCCAGCCAGCCAGCCAGCCAGCCAGCCAGCACTCAATGCCACCATCGTCTTTTTGTACATGCTCTGCTTACACACACACATACAGCCCTACAATCTGTAATCAGATAGCTGTACACGGGGCCGCCCTCGCTCGCTCGCTCACCCACTCGTTCCTGTAGTTAGCGGGCGGAGGTTTTGTCGGTCGGTGGCTCCTCGGGCCCCTGCACCCACCCACCCACACACACACACATCCACCCACCCATCCATCCACCCATACACGCCCACACACTCGCTTTCGTCCACTTCCGCCTGCCAGGGGACGGCCACGCTTGGGCTTCTCGGCGACCAGCCGACCACTCACCAACGCTCCTTTTTCCCCACCACGCAGGACCCGTTGTGCAGGCCTACGAAAGAGAGAGCGAGACCTCGCAGAGACCCTGAGTCTGCTCTCGCCATCCCTCCCTGCTGCTGCTACACTATTGCTGCCGTCACTGCCGCCATCGCCGCCCCTCGCCCAACTCCACCCCAAGCCATCCTCACGCGCCGCCGCTTGTCCGCCGCGCGTGTCTGTGTGCCCAGCAGCAACAGAGCAACAGCAGCAGCAACAGCATCTCCATCTTCCATCCCTCCCTTACCTTTTCTTGGTCAGACCTCCGCCAGCCGGTAGTCCCCCACGACGCCTACGGCCACGACACGACCCGCATCCGCTACTGACCCTCACGCCCCCCGCTCCCCTGCCCACTTTGTCGCTCTTTTATTTCTTTAAAAAAAAACTATCCCCTCCGTCCCCTCGTGTGCGACTTCTGCGCTGGTGCACAGTCACGGCTGTCCGACGGACATGTGTGCTGTGGCGTAGCAGGTCTACCTGGAAAAACAAAGGCGACCACGCCAGCAGTGCAGCGCCAACTCCCGCCCCCCCAAGCTGCATTAGCACTCCTCCATACGCGGCGCGCCCCATCACCATGTCGGGCAACTCGCTTCCTCGCCCTTCGCGACCCTCGATTGCGCCGCCCACAGGTCCCTTGCCTTCGCTGCCCGTTGCAAAGTCAAGAAACTCAAATGTCGGTCCCACCACCGCCCGATCTTCGCTGCTGCCCGGCGCCACAAACAACCGCACAGTCTCGTCGTCCGCGTTGCCACACCGGTCCTTGTCGAACTCAAAACTCCAGGCTGCCAACGGCTTGACCAACGACGAGGGTGGTCCTGCTACATCACTACCGGCTGGTAAATCACTACGCAAGACAGTTAGCATCGGCTCCTTTCCGCAACCACCCAGGCACAGTGGAAGGTCAAATCCCTCGAGCCCGCTCTCGACGAGTAGCACACCGGGAGGAGACGTGGGCGTAGGCTCAAAGACGGGTCCAAAATCATCGCTGCCCCCGCGCGAAAGCAGTCTCAAGAAGCCTCGCGCCTCAAACATTGGTGGCCGCGGTCTGTTGCCCAAATCTCCCCTCTCCCCTAGTCTACTCAACGGAAGCGCAGACTCGGTGGCCGTAGAGACTGGGCATCTCAGTCTTCCGTCTCCGCCCCACAGCCGCAACTCGTCTCCACAGGGATCATATGCAACAAGCGCGACTACCGCCGAAGATGGCGAAGACGGTGCAAACAAAGATGGCAAGCCTCCCAAGGATGGAAAAGGCAATGTTATTGTTAGCGTACGCGTGCGCCCGGACGTTGGAGCAAAAGATGGAAAACATGACGTGGACTGGGAAGTCAACAACAAGCGTGCATTGATTGCCTACAGAGGCAAGGAGGGGGGAGATTACTACTATGGTATAGTTGCACAACTTGCGTTCAAGATGACCGACCTCAGCTAATCTGACATTGTGCAGATAATGTATTTGACCCGCAAGATAACAACGCACGCGTCTACGATGCAGCAGCCAAGCGACTTGTCCGCCGAGTCATGGAAGGCTACCACGGTACCGTCTTCGCATACGGCATGACTGGAACTGGAAAGACATTCTCGATGCAAGGAACGGCAACCAACCCCGGTGTCATACCATTGGCCATTACCGACATCTTCTCCTACATTCGAGAGACACCGCAGCGCGAGTTTCTCCTGCGAGTCAGTTATATTGAAATCTACAACGAAAAAATCATCGACCTGCTGGCAGGACCTGTTGTTGGCATGAATGGTCAGACTGGACCTGTTGAGGAAATTAAATTGCGCGAGGACAGCAAGCGCGGTGTTTATGCGACGCCGCTCAAAGAGGAAATCGTGCAGAGTCCCACGCAGTTGCTTCGAGTCATTGCCCGCGGAGACAATTCTCGAAAAGTGGCAGGCACCCAATTCAACGCACGCAGTTCGCGAAGTCACGCCGTGGTGCAAATCGTTGTCGAAAGCAGAGAGCGCGCGCCCGGCCCCGCAGTCGCATCCGGTGACAAGCGGTCTGCCATTGTTCCTGGCGGTGTGCGTGTCTCGACACTGAGTCTTATCGATTTGGCTGGATCTGAAAAGGCAGCTGATAGCAAAGAGAGGAGAACTGAAGGTTCTCACATCAACAAGAGTTTGCTCACCTTGGGTACAGTCATTGGCCGCCTCGCCTCAGACAAGGAAAAGTCGGAAAAGGACAAGGGCAAAGGAGACAAGCATCTACCCTACCGAGACAGTAAACTTACCCGCCTCTTGCAACCAGCGCTTTCCGGAAACTCCTTGGTTAGCATTCTGTGCACAATTCAGATTGGAGCTAGCGGGAGCCCCGCAGCGGCGATCAGTCATACGGGTGAAACCTTGAATACGCTCAAGTTTGCATCCCGAGCCAAGAACAACATTGTCAGTCATGCCAAGAAGGCAGACGAGTCCATGGGTGCTGGCGGAGACGCGGGGAGCCGAGCTCTTCTTGACCGCTATCGTCTAGAGATTGAGGACCTGAAGAGGCAGTTGGCTGAGGGCAAGTCCAAGGAAGTCAAAGAAAAAGAAGTGGAAGACGATGACATCAAGAGGGACAAGGAAGAAGAAAGGGTCCGTGAGCTCGAGGACAAGCGACGACACGAAGAGCAGATGCTGGAAATGCAGCTCGCCAGAACCGCACTGAAGGAGCGAATCGAGCATCTCAACCGGTTGATTCTGAGTTCGAAATCACTCGGTGTCAACAATGGCCGGTCGTATACATCTATGAGCCTACAGCGCCAGTCTGTTGTGAGTAATACACACACCGATATGCGACCAATGTCGATTCGTTCGTCTGCGAGTCACCACACTCTTGGAGCCTTCCGTAGGAAAAGCACCCCGCAACTACACCCCGACGGCTCCGAAGAGGACGATTCTGTTGGTGATAATGGCGACGGTTATGCAACTCAAAGCGTGCAGATACAGGCACTGCAAGCCGATCTCTCGGACAAGAACCGTTACATTGCTACCCTCGAAAAGCGTCTGCTGCACGCTCGGAGAGCTAGTCATTCTCGAGTTTCTCTGTCACTATCACACAGGCTCACTGGTAGTGAGGAAGGTAGCATGATCGCGGCTCTTGCTGAGAGAGACAATGAGATTGTGAACCTTCGCGCACAACTTGAAGACAAGGAGCGGATGATTTCAGCCCTCACATCGGCGCGCAAGAAGAACGACAATGCACACGACATGGGAAGCGAATCACCCGGCAGCCGTCGAACCTCGGGCTACCAACGCAGCGCCAGTGATGGCAGCGCGGCCAGCATGGCCCACAAGGGACCGACGTCGCCTGCACCTAGTGTGAAAGCGCCCTTCCCGCCCCCTCCAACTTCCAACGGCACAACCAAGAACATCGAAGAGATGACACGCATGCTCGACGAGATGATCACCGGACGTGTTGAGAAGACTGCCAGGCGGAGCAGTCTCATGCCAGTCACCGAAGGCTGATTGGCTTTGCCTAGATGACAAAAGCAAATTGCGAGAGCGTCATGTCGGGTACCTGACACGGACCAGCACCGCATCATTACATTCAAAGACGAAAAGAGGTACTGTAATGGGGATGAGAAGAGTCAGCACCAACGGCGCCAGACCGAGTACCTCAAAAGTTTTATTTTCTATTATATCTTTCACATGCAGCAATCTCTCTTCAATTACGAGGGATTCCATAGCGATTGGCGTTGAATGGGTCACGGAGTACAACACCGGCACAGGAATGGATCCCGACCTGGGTCTGCGATGGGTACGCACGGGCATTAGACGATGGAGGGGGGTCTTCTGTTGCATTACCCAATTCGATGCAGCCCCGGGAGGATTGTACACTACCTTTTTTTGTTTCGTTCTTTTTTTCTTACATTCTTCCCCCACCTTCCTGCGTCAAGGGACCTTCGATCTGATACCCCCTTTTTTCATCTTACATAGTTGGTCAACATTTTTGTTTCGCTCACGATGCACATATAGCAGCCACATCAAGTAGCTTCATGATCTGTCCTGTTCAGATCACATGATTAGTCTCACGTCCATTTCCTCTGGGTAGCGGGCGCTTGCGTTTGTGTTAATAAATTAGGTGGAAGACATTTTTTTGTATTGGTAGTATTTTAGAAAAGACTGCATACGTATTCCCACTGTCATCTGGTAGATAGGACTAAGTATGGTAGTAGACACGGTTACACCAATTGATAGTAAGCCTTACCGGGGCCTCTCGGGACGATCACTTGATGCCCGTCTGACTACATGCCCGGCTGTGCATAATGTTTCTGGAATAGAAAAAAAAAGGGCCTTTAATAATAACAGTCTCTGTCAAACACGCAGCCAGACTGGTGTGTGTATGCCTGTTTATTTCAAACCTAGGGCAGAAGACCCCATATTTAAAATATGTTAAGGTCTGTATACGGCCACCAACCAACATGCACAAAACCGTAGTAGACAAGTTCTGTCACCAGTCAGGTGGCCGTTACCCAAGACCACTAACATGCTTTCTTTTTTTAGCGCCGGACATGAGGCAACGCCAGCGCCTCGACGACGTTACACTAAAAGACGCAAGCTGAAACACCACCTTTCCCTTTACCCCCCCTTCTTCGCCCCCCGCACATGCAGCGAAATGAAAGACCCGTCCCTTTCCCTCCCTTCCCGCCTTTCCGACCTTCCTATTCTTGTCCAACCTTTGTTCTTTGGCTCAAATAAGTAAACTCGCCATTTCCCCCCCTTCCCTTTCCCTTTTCCCAATCTTAAGTCTTCGATCCCTATCGAGAGAGCTTGTGTGAATCGTCTTTGACTTTCCCTTGCCCCCCCCCCTCCTCCTCCTCCTCCCCTCGGACCGTTCCGTGGTCTTTTTTTCCTTCCCACCCTTTCCTTTTCCCGCGGAAAGCTTAGACGAGGGTTCTCCCTTGTATCTCGTTTTCTTCAAGGGTGGATACTCTTCTTTGGGTCGGTTTGCCAATCCTGAGTTACGGGAAGTTAGCCTTGATCTCTCTCGTTTTGGGTGTGAAACCACTCTTGCGCCAGGAAAGGGTTGTGCCCGCTTTCTTATGGCTTTTTGAAGGACTGGGGCCCTTATTTCCACCTTTTCTCTTCTTGTGCATCTTTTTCTTTCTTTTTCTTCTCTCTTTCTTCCACTTCTATCCTACATTCTTGTTACAGGGGGAGGACTGCGTCCTATCTCAGTTTTTTTTTACTTTTTTTCCGACTTGTTGCTTGCTTTGAACGGCGGTGCCTTTCGTCCCCTCCTTCACTTACAAAACTTTGATTTTTTTTTTCGTTTTCCGAACCCCCCGTTCGTA